TTCTCGCTGAATTGTCCCCTTCAACCATCTTCTCCTTCCTTAAATCTTGGACTCCTTCCAATGAAATAAGGATCTCGCCAAGCTTCTTGTATTGTGATCGAGTAAGGACCATACACAGGATGTCCCTTCACGGGCTCTGATACCAACTTGATACGAGTTGCCGTGCGAGCATCTTTGATCGCGGAATTATCAAAGGTGAGTAGAGAAGAGGATGACAGAAACACAAACACAATTCATTATATGACGAAGGAAAATACCTTCACTAGATTATGAGTATGAAAAGATTATAACCCCTCTCTCATAATCTTTCTAGAATCGAGAACAAACTCTTAATTCTCACTAAACCCTAATACAAAGATTAGAATCTCTCTCTGAATCTATCTGATTCTCTCTCTGATTGTTTAGAAACCCTAAAACAATCCTTTATATAGATGTACAAACGTGGATGGTAATTTGGTAAATAACCAGACTCAACACCAACAGGAATTCGTGTGAACAGAAACCCAAACGAACCAGGAAACCATCGATGAGTCGACTCATGACTGAGATGAGTCGACTCGTCAGAAACTGGACAAAACACAAAAACCAGCGATGAGTCGACTCATGACAGTCATGAGTCGACTCAACCTGATGAGTCGACTCATGACTGTTATGAGTCGACTCACAAGCTGAAAACTGGATACTTTGATTCTTCTGCTCGTCGTCTCGTTCCACGCTTCCTCCTGCGTTCCCTTGTACTGTTTGACACCTCTATTCTCATGCTATCATGAGAATCATCTATCCTCAAACTCCCATGAGGATCACTAAGTTCCGAAGAGAAGATACACCCGTATCAAATTAGGCCAATTCTAGAGCCTAAAATACTTCTGCATCCAAACATTGTGGTTAATTCCAGCATTTGAAATGAAATACTAGTTTCTAGACATGCCATAATTGTCCTTCATTTGCTTTAATCAAATTTTACTGAACTATAGAAGTAAAATATTAAAAGGGTTAATTTCACAAAACGACCTAAAACTTTGGGATGTTGCACAAAATCCCCCTAAACTTTGAACTTTTCTCACCATACCTCCTACATGTAATTTGTAAGCAAATATAATTTATTTGAGAGGGGGAAAACCCCAAAATTTAGGGTTGGAGATATGTTGCCTGTAAATGACAAAATTTTGGATTTTTTCCTCTCAAACATATTTTAGTTATTTACAAATTACCAGCATGAGAACCTATGAGAAAAGGGTAAAGCTCAGGTTCTAAGATACTCCGATATTAGGGGGGATTATGTGAGATAAACAAAGTTTAGAAGAGTTATCTGAAAACCTTCCAGAATTCAGGATGCTTATGTGAAGTTATCCCTTTTTAAAAACTAGTTTTTACGCACATGAATTAAGTTTAGTTTTAAATTTTAATTATACTATTATTATTTAAATTGAACTCTATTTATAATTGTTATTCTCTCACATGTAACATCATATACTAATATATATAAGCCAAGAAGTTACAATAATTTCTATAACACTTTTATCTCCTTCTACAGGCATGTGCATTTGTTATTAGATTAGATTAGATTATTTTAAAGCAATTAATTATACTATATATTTGATTTTTTTTTCAGATCAAGAAATTATAATAATTTTCATAGTACTTTTATTTATTACTTTAAAATCACAGAATGTTGGATTGATTGAAATAGTTAAACAAAATAAATCGTCATGACAAATAAATTATTAAAATCATAATCTTGATTTGAATAGAGGGTGCACAGACAACAATCAATCACTAACAAAAGAAAAAGAAAATTTTATTAATATTTGAAGAACCTTTCTATTTACAGTAGGGAAATAATTTTAAGCAATGAAGATGACGACAACAACAAGAAAATAGAAATTATTATAAAAATTCAAAAAGAAAAATAATGTAAGACAGAAAGAGACATACTTGTTGAAGAAGACTAAAGTACTATCGAAATTGTGTAGTTCTTGATTTATACATATATGTAAGCATGAGATGTTACATGTGAGAGGATAATAATTATAAATAGAGTTCTATTTGGATAAAAATTATGTAATTTTCTTATAAATAGAGTTCTATTTGGATAAAAATTATGTAATTTTCTTGATGTTTGAAATATTGTTTCTTTTAATAATTCATTTCAAAACCTACATGTGAAAAATTCACAATACATGTGCATGATTAATAAAACCACCGTACGTGAGCTACTCCTACCCATTTCAAAGTTGGTCATTTGAAATTAATAATAATAATATTTGATTATAGGATAATTAAGATTATTTAATTTGTTGATGTGAGCAATTATATACATGTTGAAGACACTAACAAAAGAGAACAATCAAATACACAATATTACTAAAGAATAATCATAAAGATAAAAAATGAGCATACATGTTGAAGGAGACAAAGTTACCATGAAAATTGTGTAATTTCTTGGTTTATATATAGGCATGAGATGTTACATGTGATAGGATAACAATTACAATTAGAGTTCTATTTGTATAAAGATTACAAATTGTATAATATTTTATTATAATAACAATAACACAATTCTTATCAACAACTTCATATGCGTAAAGTCTATGCCTTATACGGATTAGGATTAGGATATTTAGTTCAAACTGAATAATTAGAATAGCCTTTTAGTTGTTCATTTAAACTTTGAAGTTTGTATCTTAGTTCAAACTTTAAAGAAAGAGAGGAGACATAATTAGGATAGATATTTAATTCAAACTTTAAAGAAAGAGAGAAGACATAATGTGTACGGATTAGGATTAGGATATTTAGTTCAAACTGAATAATTAGGATAACCTTTTAATAGTTTATTTAAACTTTATTAAAAGTTTCAGTAAGGTAAGTAGTCCTCAGTCGTATTGAAGATTATCTCGCTTCTACAAATTAAATATCATTATCAAATAAAAAATTAGGTATCAAAGTTGTGTCAACTATGAGCCATGATTCAAGTGTGCGAACGATTTATTTTATTTTTTTATAATTAAATACAATTTAAAAATTAGAATTTGATTAGGATTAGGATAGTTCAAACTTTAAATTTATTTGATTAGGATTAGAATAAATCATTAAATATAATTTAAAAATTAGAATTTGATTAGTATTAGGATAGTTCAAACTTTATAGGGGGTGTTTTTGTCTACCGAAAGATTTTTCTGAACTCGTGCTATTAAAGGGAGTATGATATTTAAATTTAAACTTTATTAAAAATGTCAGTAAGATAAGTACTTAGTCGTATTGAAGATTATCTCACTTTTACAAATTAAATATCATTATCAAGTAAAAAATTAGATATCAAAGCCGTGTCAACTGTGAGCTGCGATTCAAGTGTGCGAGTGATTTTTTTTATAATTAAATACAATTTAAAAATTAGAATTTGATTAGGAATAAGATAATTCAAACTTTAAAGTTATCTAATTAGGATTAGAATAAATAATTAAAATTCAATTTAAAAATTAGAATCTGATTAGTATTAGGATAGTTCAAACTTTATAGGGGTATTTTTGGCTATCGAAAGATTTTTCCGAACTCGTGCTTTTAAAGGGAGTATGATATGATATGATATATAATTATTTTAAAATATTTATCAAAAAAGAAATAAAGTCCAACAATGTTTTTTTAATGTATACATGTGGATTAATTAGTGATTGTGTTACTAAATTAAATAGATTTTTTAACCTTTTATTTTTTTGCAAAGAGTGGATGTCTGGGCTTTAGGATTAATTGACCGATTATTTCAATAGATCAATTGGTTCGATGTTCAAGATCTATGTGTGTATCCTATTGCCGTATGTTGGATATGTGCGTATGCAACTGCTTGTTGAAGGAGACGGAGTTACTATGAAAATTGTGTAATTTCTTGGTTATATATAGGCATGAGATGTTGCATGTGATAGGATAACACACAATTTGAGTTCTCTTTGTATAAAGCAAATTGTAGAATATTTTTATTATAATAACAATAACAAAATTCTTATCAACAATTTCATATGCATAAAGTCTATGCCTTATACGGATTAGGATTAGGGTATTTAGTTCAAACTGAATAATTAGGATAGTCTTTTAGTAGTTTATTTAAACTTTGAAGTTTGTGTCTTAGTTCAAACTTTAAAGAAAGAGAGGAGGCATAATTAGGATAGATATTTAATTCTTTGAAGTTTGTGTCTTAGTTCAAACTTTAAAGAAAGAGAGGAGGCATAATTAGGATAGATATTTAATTCAAACTTTAAAGAAAGAGAGGATAAACTTTAAAGAAAGAGAGGAGGCATAATTAGGATAGATATTTAATTCAAACTTTAAAGAAAGAGAGGATGCGGAATGTGTACGGATTATGATTAGGATATTTAGTTCAAACTAAATAATTAGGATAGCCTTTTAGTAAGCTATTTAAACGTTATTAAAAGTGTTAGTAAGGTAAGTAGTTCTTAGTCGTATTGAATATCTCGCTTCTACAAATTAAATATATCAAGTAAAAAAATAGTTATCAAATTAAAAGTGTCAGTAAGGTAAGTAGTTCTTAGTCTATTGAAGATTATCTCGCTTCTACAAATTAAATATCATTATCAAGTAAAAAATTAGATATCAAAGTTGTGTCAACTGTGAGCCGCGATTCAAGTGTGGGAGCGATTTATTTTCTTTTTTATAGTTAAATACAATTTAAAAATTAGAATTTGATTAGGAATAGGATAGTTCAAACTTTAAAGTTATTTGATTAGGATTAGAATCAATCATTGAGTATAATTTAAAAATTAGAATTTAATTAGTATTAGGATAGTTCAAACTTTATAGGGATATTTTTGTCTACTGAGATTTTTCCCGAACTCGACCAACCTGAGCTCTACCTAGAGTTGCAAAATGCATAATACTCCATTCCATTTACAAATCACAATCATAGATTCTGACATATTTGTCATCAAGCGAGAACAAAGAGGATAAAAGATACAAAGTAAACGTTTATGAGTGTAAGTTGGCGTACAGTATATTCACAAAATAATGTCTATAACTACAGCTTTTATGTACATAGGTTTTTGCAAAGTAAATAGTTTTTGCGTCTCCTATGACAACTTTCTAATATACAACCATCCAATGTACAGCTGTCTAACATAAAAGATCCACATATAATAATATGGATCGTTAGAAGAGTCTAATACACCACCAAAAATTTCCTAATACACTACCAAAAATTTCATGCAGAAGATAGGAGAGTTGTGTTTGCTACATGCTTGTAAGCTCGTCCAACACAGTAATGATCATATAGTAATGTGTAGTCTTGTATCGTCTTTCAAAAGTTTGACCTTTTGAGTTGAATGAAATACTCTTTTTCGCTTGAACGTTTATTGAGAGATGTTGTATCCACCTGCCCAACCTGTTATAATATAAGATGCTTTGTGATAAATATACTATATGAAAAGTAAAGGAGCAGTTGATATGCAGGAAGAAAGTTTAAGATTCAAATAAGGTTAGGCAACATTTTTTTGTATAACTGAATATATTCGACGTTTATACTATCAAGTTGTTAGTATATATTGAAACAACATTTTGTATGTGTAAATCAGGTTGCTCTATCGTTAAAATCCTAGCACACCGTGTAAAAGGGGCATGGGTTCTCCCATTCAAGTATGCATTCTTACACCAAAACTTAGAAAGATCTTAAATGTTCACTATATGCTAAGCTGCTGTTGTTGCTGAGATCAACTGCACTGAAAAGATCATAAAGCAGAGAATAAGAGAAAACCTCAAGCATGTCAAGGTACCAACAGGCAAAAACAAAATTTATTTGCATTTTTTTGGCTAACTTATAATAAACTGTAAAACAGGTTGAAATTAAGAGGAAAAAAATTATTTAGAAGAATATATTAAAGAGTATAGTAATTCGTAGGCATAAGAAAAATTAAAATAATGAATGTAGCATAATAAATCAAGTCCAAATTATGTCTAGAGGGGAGGGCATTAATATTGCCATCATTCTCTATACAAAAGAAGTCTAAGAGCAGTATGGCTATCATTTTTCAAAATACCGTGAAATAGGATCGAAACTTTAGTGTACCAAAGTATATTAGAGAAATGCTTTGAGACATCAACGTGAAGAAGTGTGCAAACTTTGGGGTAGTAAAGTGAAAATAAGCCACCAACTAACCAGAGGTTTTTCCCCTATATTAGTCACTTGCATATTTGCAATTGCTTCATCAAATTATTAAACTTGGTGTCAGATTTGGTTACTTGTTTGGGTGATGACTATAAAGATCACTGTTCTCCATAAATGAGCACTTTAGACAAGGGCTTCTTTCACGTGAACAAGTAAAAGATAGGAATTGAATGTAGTAACTTAACCTTACATCAAATTGTAGAATTAAAAATGAGAATCTTGAACCGACCATTATAAGTCTCAACAAGCTATCGAAAAAGTACAGTCCACATGCTCATATACTTATAATTTAATCTCAAAAATACATAACCAAATGAACAATCATGAAGCACATTAATAAATCTAATTAAATAATTTACAAATTTAAATTGCCTCAACCCTAAATATTTAATCTTTCTAAGTATGTTCATTAGTATAATGGCGCAAGTAATTATCTAAGTAGCTAAGTGACGTCATAGAATATTAGAAGTTAAAATATAATGATTTTTTG